ATGTTTATCTCTTTCTCCTCCTCTCCCTTCTTCTCCTTTGCATCTCCTTCTTTCTTCTTCTTCTTCTTCTTCTTCTTCTTCTTCTTCTTCTTCCCTCTCCTCGCATACGCCATCGGTGACATAGAGTCGCTTCCTGTGAGCACGCGCTTCAGAGCAAGGTGCAAAACGACTTGGACGACGAGGTCGTCCGCTTCTTGCCGCGGGTCGGCTGGACGGCAAACGACTGCTTCTCGGCCTGGACTTGGGCTGGTGAAAGAAAGTCCATGTTGGTCTGTCCGGGCACTACGGCCGTCCGCGCCTTGGCCACCGCCGCCTCCACCAGATATTCAAACATGGGCCGGACGTTGACGTCGTCCTTGACCGAGATGCGGTAGAACTTAAGCCGAAGCTCCTGTGCCAGGGCCTCGGCCTCGTCGGGTGTCACCACCGACGAGTCGAGCAAATCAACTTTGTTCTGCACCAGCACGGCGGCAATGCCTGGCGCCTCGGCCTCGACCTTTGCCCGCCACGATCGGATGGCCTCGAACGAGTCGCGATCCGTAGTGGAAAAGGCGTAGACGCATGCACCAGCTCCGCGGTAGTAAGTCCGTGTCACAGCATCAAACTCCTCCTGTCCTGCCGTATCCCATAGCATCAGCCGGACCTCCTCACCCAGCGACTCGATGTACATGCTCTTCTCCAGAAAGTCAACTCCTATCGTCTTGCGGTAGTTGTCGGTGAAGAGTCCGCGGGCCACTCTCCGAATCATCGACGTCTTGCCCACGCCTCCATTGCCCACCACAATGACCTTGACCTCGGCTATTGTATCCCCCCCCCCCCCCAAGTCCGCCCAGTCCGACCAGTCCGACCAGTCCGACCAGCCCACCCGTCCACCCGTCCACCATACGCCATCGCCATCAGCCCGAGCAACCCACGCGATCGCACACACACACACACATATATATACACACACACACATACACATACACACATACACACATGCACAAAGTCCCATCCATGTCGTCCATGAGTACAGTCCAGGCCACCACCACCCACCACCACCTTCCCTCCACCCCACGCGTCTGCCTTCCCCCCCCCTCCCCCCCCCCCCCCACACACACACCCTCCTCCCTCCCTCCCTCCCTCCCCCCCTCTTCCCTCCGCAAAGACATACTGTCAAACTCCTCCTCCACCATGTCGTCCATCGTGCCCCTGCCACACAGTCCTGACTCTCACGCAACAGACAAGTACTGCTCGCCATCAGCAACTGCCGACTGCCGGCTGCTGGCACTGCCCCCCCCCCCTCCCCCCTTCCACCACCACACAGGCAGCCAGCCAAAAAGGAAAACGCGTGACCAACAAATGGCGCGTTGTGACCATCAGGGCAAGGTTTGGTTCGGAGAGACAGATTCGAAGAGATGGGCTTGGAGCGTGTGCTTCCATTGGCTGGCACTGTGTCGAGTCAGCAGACTACCGAGACCAGATAGAGACGTTCGATTGGAGCAAGTGAGACACTCGTCGAGGACTTTCTACCTCGAGGACCTCGTACGTAGTGGTATGGGTGTTCCTGGATTGGCAAAGTGGCTGGAGAACAAGTGCAAGAAGGCCTTTGAGCCATGTCGGGCAAAGACGGCAAAGGTTGCCGCTGGCCGGCTGTATCTCGACATGAACGGTGTCGTCCACAACGCGAGGACGCCAGAGGCTATCAAGGCCTACATCACCGGGCTCATCGATCGCATTGCTCCGAGTCAGCTCGTCTACTTTGCTCTCGATGGTGTCGCTCCGCGCGCCAAGATGGTTCAGCAGCGCGGCCGCCGGTTTGTCAAGGCCGACGATGCCGCCGATGAGCCGGCCTGGCGCCGCAGCGACTTTGACTCGAACCTCATTACTCCGGGCACACCGTTCATGGAGGGTGTTGAGGCCATGAGCCATAGACTCGCTGCCGAGCTCGCTGCCATCGCAAAGTATGCTCATCTCACTTTTATCGTCTCGGACTCGTCAGTTCCGGGCGAGGGCGAGCACAAGATCATGGAGTTTATCCGCGGCCAGCGCGCAGCGCCGGGCTACGATCCCAACCTCGTCCATGTCATCTACGGCTCGGATGCAGACATGTTTTTCCTCTCGCTCCTCACCGGCGAGCGCCATGTCTACGTCCTCCGTGAGAAGCCGCAGCGCCGGTCGGCGAGGTCGGCAGCCATCGCTCCAACTCTTCCGCCAATGACACTGGTCAACATCGCTACGCTGCGGGCCACTCTGGCAGCAGTGCTTGGCCAGGACGCCGCCGATCGCCTCCCCTTTGCCTTTGACTCCTCGGCCGCTATCACCGACTTTGTGCTTGTGCTCATGCTGGTCGGCAACGACTTTCTGCCTAGGGCGCCGACGCTCGACGCGTACTTTGGCGGGCTCAACACGCTTGTCACCGCGTACCTTGCCTCGCTACCGCTCATGGGCGGATTCATCTCGTCACCGGCAGGCACGGACTTGCCCGGCTCTATCTGTCCGTCGCGGCTGGGCATCTTCCTCACCGCGCTGGCCTCGGCCGAGGCAGCGTACCTGGCCGATCAGTTTGACGCCTCGCACTCGTGGGCTGCCGAGTACTACCGGGTCCGGTACCGGATCGACAGCGATGCCGAGCAGGCAGCGCTGGCGACGCGCATGGCCCGAGAGTACCTGTGCGGTCTCGCATGGACACTCGCCTACTACGTTCGCGGCGTGCCGTCGTGGAACTGGCACTACCCATTCCCGCACGCGCCGCTGGTGGCAGACATGGCGGCGGCCACCCGCGATGCGTCGATCGCAGACGCACTCGCCCTGGATCCCGCTCAACTTGGTGCGCCGCTGCCTGCGCTACTCCAGCTGATGTGTGTCCTTCCGCCATCGTCCGCAGACGCGGCACTTCCGCCGCAGCTGGCAGACCTAATGACTGCGCGTGACTCGCCGATCTCGCACATGTACCCGGTGCGCTTTGACCGCGACGCCGACGCGCGGTCGCGCGACTGGCAGGCCATCCCGCTTCTGCCGGCAGTGGACGTGCAGGCGGTGGCAGACGCAGCGGCTGACGCGCTGGCGCGCTCGCCGCTCTCGCCAACTGCCGCCAAGCGCAACACCCGCGGCGAGGCGCGGCTGTACGCATCACTTGCCAGCGGCGGCGTGCGGTTCGACGGCGAGACGCGCGCGATTTTGCTGCCAGGCGGCGGCGACATCAGCGGCCTGTTGCAGAACGCGCCGGTGGCACACTGCATGGTTGCCACAACGGCCGTTGACGAGTACGCCTTTGTGCCGCCGTCGCTAGCCCCGTCTCAAGTGGTCGTCGGCACGCTGCCCGGCGCCGACCCGTGGCCGGTAGTTGCGCTGCACGAGCGCGAGCTTGCGGCCAAGCGTGGCGAGCTCACATGCGGCAGTCTGCCGGTTCGCTGCTTTGGCTGCGGTGGCAAGGGTCACCGCGCCAAGCAGTGCGTCCCGATTGTGAGGCCGGCACTGCTGTGCAGCAATTGCGACAAGGCCGACGTAGTCGGCCACGCGTGCACGCCGCGTCGGACGGCCTCGCCTGACTCACTTGTTCCTCTGCATGACCCTCACGCGCCGATCATCGTCCTCCGCCCCTCGCTGCTAGCCTCGCCGTGGGTGTCGGGTGCGCTTGTGGCGGTCGGCGCGGCGGCCATAGCCGGTGCGGTTGTCTCCCTGGTCATGTGGCGCGGCCGGGCACTGCGGTCCTGAGCAGAGTTTACAGCCCGTCGCTACCGTCCCACCTCAGAGTGGTGCTTGCGGATGATGAGCTCGATGCGGCGCTTGAGGGCGTGCGTGTGCTGGGCAGCGATGGGGTCGTCGTCGTTGGCGAGCTCGGGCGCGCGCCGGCCGCTTCCATCGTCATCGTCGTCGCTCCCGCCGCGGGTCGACGAGCCGGACGATTCTTGGTCAACATCGTCGTCACCTCGTCGGTGACAACTAGCAGTGGACGAGAGGCTCGCAACAGCATCCTCCAGCCGCTGCATTCTTTTCCCGAGTGCCACCATCTGCTCGCGCATAAACAGCAACGAGTCGGCCACATCGTGCGATGGCGCCAGCTCGACCAGCAGCGCGCTCGTGGTCCGTCCGGCTCGCGCCGACCCGGCCTCGCCGCTGAGCGCCGCCTGACTATCCGGCGGCGTAGCGCCCATCGAGAGCCGGCGAAGCGAGCTGGTGCTTGCCGGCCGCGGCCGAGGCGCAAAGCTCGCGCTCGTCGACGGGAGAGGGTGCGAGGGGACGACGGCAGACGCGCCGCGGAGTGGCGGATCCTGGAGCGCCGAGAGCTTGGCCGATAGCTGGGAGAGCGGCGAGAGCTGTCCCATGTGGGTGACTAGCTGGGTCGGCTGGGTCATTTGCGAGCCTGATGGTGGGCTTGTCGCCTGCCGCAGCAGTGTCCGCTTCCGCTTTCGCTCCCGTGGCGATGGCGGAAGCGGTTGATCGGCGCGTCTTTGCCGATCAGTCAAACTGCGGCTTTTTCCGACACCACCTGCCGCCAGGAAGCCTCCGCGCGACTGGCCATGCGAGGCAGACGACGAAGGCATCGGCTCGAGTGCTAGCGTGTGCGGTGCAGGAAGTGATCGCGAAGTATTAAAGCCGAGCATGGACGGGTGGGGAGTGTTGATGGTGGAGCGGAGGGCACGAGTCAGCTGGCGAGCAGTCGCGCTGTTCGCGATCAGACTGGTTGCTTTCATTGGGGCGGATTTGGGGAACGAAAGGCGGACGTTGTCACGAGCCGGGCGTGGCGGCGATGTGTGTCTGGAGCTTGGTGCGGATGGAAGGGATGGAGAGGAGGCCAGCGACAAGCTGCTCAATGTCGCCATCTGAGCGTGCGGGCGAGGCCGCGGGCGGGGCGGCTGGAGCCGCGGCGGCGTCGAGGCGCTGCTGGAGCGAGACAATGGTGGCAGCCTGCTTCTCGATCTGAGACTGCATGTGGGTGATGATGCGGGTAAACTTGGCGACGAGCTCGTGCTCGCGCTTCTTCCACAGCTCGTCGATGTGCGACTTGGGAACGACGTCGGCGGAGAGCGCGGCTTCGAGGTTGGCCACCTGCGAGCGGAGAGCACGGTTAGCGGCGATGAGCTCGCGCGAGTCTGCGCGAGCCGGCGAGGCGAGCAAGCCCGAGGAGCGCAAGGAGGGGTGGATCGTGGTAAGACCCGTGGTGCGGCCAGTGGAGGCGAGGAGCTGGACCTCATCGTCGCCGAGGACGACCTCCTCTTCGTAGTACTCGTACTCGGGCTCTAGCGCTCCGGCCGAGGTAGCGCCGCCAGCAGCGGCGGGAGCGCGCGACTTGCGGGCTGAGCTCGGCGGCGGCGAGTAGGTTCGGGCAGCGAGGTTGCGATCAAACGAGGACGAGGCAGCGAGAGCGGGCGGGAGCGGCAGCGCCTGCTGTATCGGCTTGGGCGGCTCGCCGGAGAAGGCGTCGGTGACGTTGACGCGCGCGCGGGTCCGAACTGACATGGCGCGGGTGGCAAAAAGGCAGGTGGAGATGGACTCTTCGTAGTTGTAGACGGTGGGGCAGATTGTGGCGACAAGGCAGGTCTTGGTGTTGCCGCCGAGCGAGTCTGTAAGGATGCGGGTGAGCTTACAGTTGCGGTAGGGGATGTGGCGGTCGGGCTTGCGCTCGGAGAGGGCGGCGACGCAGTTTCCGAGCGCACAGAGCGACTGGTTGATGCGCTTAGCCTCGCGAAGGCGCTGGCCGTCTGAGCCGGACTTTGAGACCCGCTCCGAGCCTGCAAGGTCGACGAGGGTGAGGAGGCCGGACTTGACCGGGCGAAGGCCGCCGGCGTTGGGCGAGCCGGGAAGCGGCGCGATGGGGCGCTGCTCGACCGAGATGAAGACGATGACATGCGAGCGCGACGACGTCTTGTTCATGTACGTCTGCGAAATGGCGCGATTCTTGAAGGCCTCCTGGATGAGGACGAGGGCGTCAAAGGGCGAGGCGACGGCGATGCGCTGCATGCCCTCGACAAAGACGCCGGACTCGGGGTCCTCACGGACAGCCATGTTGGCCTTGTCGAGGTCAAACAGGTCCATGACATACTCCATGTAGATCTCAAGGCACGAGATGGCGACGCGGAACTCGGTCGTCTCCTTGCACGCGTTGATGTGCTCAAAGACGTGGTCGATAGCCCGCGGAATGACGCCGCACTTTTCAAAGTAGTTTGGATCGCCGCTCCGCTCCACGGTCTCTTCGGGCCCAAACACGGTGTACGTCTTGCCCGAGCCCGTCTGCCCGTACGCCATGACGGTGCCGTTGAAGCCTGCAAGGACCTGGTCGACGACGGGCGCGGCGACGGCGGCATACATGTCATCCTGGGTCGCCTGCGGGCCCAGGACGGCGTCGGCGCGGAACTCGCGCGAGTCAAACAGCGGCTGGCTGAGCGAGATGGCCCTGTTGTTTGCTGCCACCTTGACGCCCACCACCAGATCATCTTGCGTCCGTGCGTTGGAGAGGTCCTCGTCGATGGTGGGGCGGACGCGGAGAACGACCTTGACCCTTTCCGAGGCGTTGTTGGTGTTGGCCTGCGGAGCCGTGCCTGCTGTGCGCGAGTATCGCAGCTGGTGGACCGACATGAGTATGTGTAGGTATGTATGTATGCGTATGTATGTATGTATGTATGTATGCGTGTGTGTGTGTGTATGTGTGTGTATGTGTGTGTGTGGTGGAGTGTGTGGGTGCAGTCGACGGGTGCTCTGTTTGGCGCCAAGCCGTGTGCAACCACCACGGCAACAGCGCAGTGTTGGGGACAAGGAGATCGATGGGGAGGGAGCGAGAGGGCTGACAGTTGATCGATGATGAGTCGGTTTAACACACCCACAACCCCAAGCGCCACACAGCGTGTCGACCATTCAAGGCGACAGCGGCGGCAGGGCTGCAGGACGTGCTGCAGCGCTTACTCCTCGTCCTGCTGGGCCTTGAGGTACTCCTGGAGGACGTCAAGGGCGTGCGACTGGACGCCGTAGTCACGGATGACCACGCACGAGCAGGCAACCTCCTTGCGGGGCTGGCCCTCGGCGTCGAGCTTGCAGAGGCCGGCCCAGAGGCCGAGCTCCTTGTTCGACTCCACCTGGATGAGCTGGATCTGGTGCTCGTTGCAGAGTGCCGAGACGAGCTTGGTGTACGCCGGCTCCGAGCAGTTGGAGGCGAGGAGGCACAGGTGGGCCTCCTTGCGGTCCAGGGCGCGGACAGCCTCGCGGAGGCCGCGGGCGAGCCCGTCGTGGATGAGCGCGTTGCGCAGGACGACCTTGAGGGCGTCCATGGGGTCCATGGGGCCGGTCTCAACCTGCTCAACCTCCTCCATCACCTCGGTGTCAATAGCAACGACGTCTCCGTTCTCAGCCATGTTTGGTTGTGAAGTTCCTCGACTGTAATCACCACGTCTTGCTGTGAGTCATCCCGCTCTGCACCATGCCCATCCTCCCCGTCTCCCAGCATGCGACAAAGTCATACAAACACGGAAATCAAACAATCCGTGTTGGCCACCGCCACACACTCCCTGCTCCCACTCTTGCCTTCCTCGCCAAGGCCCCACACCCATGTTGGCGGAGTGCATACAGTGTATGCATGCTCCGAGTGGTGGTGGTGGTGGTGGGGGCAGTAGTGGGTGTGGTGATGGGTTCAGTCCGCGCCTTGCTATCGTGCCAGTACGTACCTAGTCGAATAGAAATGTGTCCTTCGCTGGCATAATTTGGACCGTAGTCGCCATTCACAGAACGAGTTGAACGAAGCGAAGCAGCAACGGGTTGGCCAATCAATTTTTTTCCACCCAGCCACCCCCCACCCCCCACCTCCTGCTGTTTGTTCTCGAATGACGCACGAATTGCTTGATTACCGATTGCGACCGAACCCTTGTGGCGGTCACTCGACTTGGTTCTTCTCCGTCGGCCATGGCATCGGCAGACGAAAGCCCTCACCCAGATGTACAGGCTTTCATGACCGCCTTTACACCCGAAGCAGTGCCGGTGGCGTCATCTGATGAGAGCCCGTCACCTGGAGTGGCGGGTGTGCAGCTTGCACCGGTGACAGGCGCCCCAGCTGCCCCAGCTGGTGTCCCAGCTGCTGCAGCGTCGCCGACGTCGTCCGTCTCGTCAGCAACGTCCTCGCTGCTCGACGCCGCCGTGGAGCCAGCGCCTCTGCCTACAACGAGCATCAGCTCGCCCGCCTCCCAGGTCTCACTCTTTGACGAGCTTGCACCGCACTTTGCTCTCTCTGCTCCTGCTGCTGACCCGCAGCCTCCGCCAGCGACTCCCGCCGTTCCACAGGTACGCTCTCAGAGGTGTTCTTCCGGTCTCTCTCCCCCCTCCCCCCCTCCCCCCCTCTCCTCCCCCCCCTCCCCCCTCTCCAACCACATCTGGATTGTGGCCATGTCTTTGCATTTTCTCTCCCTATCTCGGTTCCTGCCTTCCCCTGCCCTCCCCCACTGCTCTCCTCCCTTCTGCGTTCCCTCCCACACTTACCTTCCTGGAACGTGGGGTCCGACCCGCGCATGCTGTCGAACACAGCCGCTGGGAGATCTGGCCTTCCTCGACGGGCACACGGCCGTCGCAGCACCGGAGCCTTCCGCTGCCGCGCCTGCCGCTACCGCGCCTGCTGCCACGCCTACACCTGCCACGCCTACACCTGCGGCGCCTGCACCTGCTGTGGCGGCCAGCCCACCACAGCATGATGTGCTCCTCCAGCAGCAGCACTACCTGATGGAGCAACAGCGAGCTGCACAGCTCGCCAAGCAGCAGCGCGATCTCGAGGAGCAGACCCGCAAGCTCGAAGAGCTGAAGCGACAGAGTACCATGCTCGAGGCCGAGATGGCGCAGCGTCAAGCCGCTGCTGCAAACTCCACCCCTGCTCCCGCCGCCACCCCCGCCCCCGCGCCCACTCCCGCCGCAGCCCCCACTCCCGCCGCAGCCCCCACTCCCGCCCCAGTCCAGCTCGCCCCGGTCTCTGACGAGCAGCTCGCGCTGCAGCGGCAGATGGCACAGTTGGAGGAGGAGCGCCGCAAGGCCCAGGAAGAACGCCTCAAGTTCCAGCAAGAGATGCGCAAGATGGAAGAGGAGCGCCGGAGGGCCGAAGAGGAGCGCCGCAAGGCCGAGGAGGCCCGGCAGCAAGCCCCTCCACCGGCCATCGACGCGCCGCCGTCGTTCGAGCCTGCACCACCGTCATTCCAGCCTGCACCACCGTCGTTTGAGGTTGCGCCACCGTCGTTTGAGCCTGTGGCACCGTCGTTTGAGCCTGCGACACCGGCTGTTCCGGCCTTTCAGCCGCAGCATCCCCCGGTGCTGGGCCACGCACCACACCTGTCGCAGACGCAGCCGCAGCCGCAGCTGCAGCAGCCGTCGGCGCAGGCTCCGGCCTACTTTCCACCAGCAGCCGGCGCGTTCACTCCCACCGGTCTGGCGTCGTTCTCGCCGGCGCCACTCCCAGGATCGGCCAACCCGGCACTTGCAGGGCAGATGCCGTACACCCTGCCATCGTCTGCAGCGCCGTCGAGCACGGCACCCGCGGCCGCGGCCGCGCCGACCGGAGCTGCCGCCTCTCCGTTCAACTACGCCAACCTTGACCTGACCAAGTACACCCAGCCGACCGGGTCTGTGGCGATGCGGACGACCCGGCCCGAATCTGACTCGGGCTCGTCGGCGTCGTCAGCCGAGTACTACTCGTACTCGTTCGACGCCGCTGACTACGGAGGAGTTCCGGCTGGCGCAGGTGGCTCGGACGGCTTTGACATGGACGCCGAGGCCGAGTGCCACGGTAAGGTCTCGGACATCGAGAACTGGAAGTACGCCCAGCTCCGTGACACCATCAACAACTGCACCCACCCAAGGCGCTCGAGGCGGCCACGCTTGAGATCGCCATTCGCGAGGCCGACGGCCGCTTACCTGACAACCACAAGGTCGGCACGGTGTGGAAGCCGCCGAAGGAGCTGCCGCCGTTCTGGGAGGAGCGGACCGCGCCCGACGGCCGCGTCTACTATGTCGACCACAACTCGCGGAAGACCACGTTTGAGGACCCGCGCCTCAATCCCGACAACTACCCGGACCGCAACGCGCCGCGTGTGCAGCCCGCCGCCACCTCGGTCCCGTCGTACTCGTTCGAGGACCCGTCAGCCCCGCAGCGCATCCACGTCCGTCGCAGGCGCAAGTCCAAGCCCAAGAAGAAGAAGAAGAAGAAGGACAAGTCCAAGTCCAAGTCCAAGTCCAAGGCAAAGGCAAAGGACATGCCCGCGCCTGTCGCGGGATACCAGCCGCAGCCACTTGCGGGCTACCCGGGCCTCTCATCCTCACCGTATGGCGCTGCCGCCCCTGCGCCCAGCTCGTACACCTCTTACCCCGGCCTTTACCCGTCGTCGACACCCGCGTCGTCGGTCTACCCTATGCCGTCGATGCCGACGACGACGCCAGGCCACCCACCCAGATCTGCCACAACCTCCGCTCCTGCCCCCGCCCCCACCTCGTCCTCGAACCCCTATGCGCATCTCTTCCCACAAGCGTAAAACGACAGTGCGTGAAAGGCCGAGGAAGAGCCCACCCCGCCCCGTCACACCGGGCCTGTGGCACGCGCACCGCTGACCGGGCAGCGTGTGACTAACTTGCTCGCGAGCAACTCACACTCCACCCCACGCGTATGGCTCTCCACCGGGTCATACTTGGCCTGGGCCTGGTGGCTGCACTACTTGTACTCACCACCCAGGGCTCCATTGTACTCGACTCGTCAGGTACATGGGGCTCCGGCGTTGTTGTCCAGCATACACCAGTTCTTGCCCGCGCATGCGACGTAGACACCACATGGGAGCTCTGGTGTCGCGCAAGCGTTTGGCCTCCCACCTCGACCAAGACCCTCTTCTCACAAAGCGCAGAGGGCGAGTCTGGAGACACAAACTTCCTAGTTGCCGTATGTATACCCCCTTCCTCCCCCCCCCCCCCCCCCCTCCCCCCCCTCCTCTTCCTGTCCCAGAGCTCTGCCCCGTCGTCGGTCCACCTTCATGTCGCTTCGTTCTGGCAATCGTCACCCCCTTTCCACTTGCCGTTGTCATTCAGCGCTCCGCAAGGCTGCTGGCGGCAAGGAGGCGATAGCCTTTCAAGCTACCTTCTGTATTGGTCATTGTCCATCCCCCCTCCTCCCCCCCCCCCCCTCCCCCCCCTCTCTCTCCCCGTGATTCGTTCACTCTGGGCATGGCTTGGCATGGTGGCGCAGTTGCAGCAAAGCTACTTGCAAGCCGTGGCGCACTTTCGGCCGCTGGCCAAATTGGAGAAGCTTTTTTTTGGGTGTGGTGCGAGTTTTTTTTTGTCACGACAACTCACGGCTCACGGCAATGTGGATCCATGACTACAGCTCGAGATTCAAGACTCTGGCGTACCGCGAGTGTTTGGGGAGGACGGGGCAGGCTCCAACAACTATGCAACATTTCCCGCAGCGGCTCCGGTGACGGTGGGCGCGTGGGTTCACCTGGCTCTGGTTCATGAGTCCTCTCTTTCCCGGTTCTCACTCTACCGAAACGGCGTGTACATGGCGTCTGCGAGCTACTCGGGCACGTTTTGCGACGGTGGAGCCGAGACTCGATTTGTGGTGGGCAACGAGGACAATGCTCGTTCAGGTGCCGATGTTCAGGTGGCCGAGATCCGGGTCTGGAACTTTGCTCGCTCGCCGGCGGAAGTCGCCGCCGACTACCAGTACGTGCTCTCGGGCGGCGAGGCTGGGCTCATCGGGTACTGGCAGCTCAACGCGGCAGCCGAATGGTATCCGGACCGCTCGCCCACAGGTGCTGCTGCGGCGGCGACCGGAGTCCCGCTCCCGCGAGTCGAGCCGAGCCTGCCGCTCGCCGGCGCCAATGTCTCGCGCGACTTTTCGGCCGGGTTTACCTTTGGCGTCTCGCCCGCACCCGCGCCGGCGCTCGCCATCACCGGCGACCTCACCATCGAGTTTTGGATCTGCCTCGAGACCACGATAGCGCCGAGTGACCTGCTCAAGCATGTTTTTATCGTCTCACACGCCGCCATTGGCGAGTCGTCTGCTACCAACTTTTTGTACAAGGTCGCGGTAGACAACACAGGCTTGTACTTTTTCCACGAGACTGGTAGCGGCAGCAACCATTACTTTGTTCCATCGCCGGCAGTCCACCTCCCGCGCGCGATCTGGACCCATGTTGCGGTGGTCCGCGACGTTACCGGAGCCGGTTCTGTCCTCTTTTACATCAACGGCGCACACGTCGCCACAGTTGGGTCGACATCAGGCGCGACCGGTGGCGGCGACGGGCGCCTCTACGTCGGCGTTGACGCCAACCGTAATTTTTACATCCCACCATTCCGGCTCGCCGACTTGCGAATCTGGTCAACAGCACGGAGGCCAAGCGAGATTTCCGAATACTATGCGGCTCGGCTGCCTACACCGGCAGCTCAGCCCGGCCTTGAGCTCTACCTTGCGTTCGACGCCATGTCGGCCGTGGTCGTCGAGCCGGACCTCTCTGCGAACGGCATTGGTCTGGATTTCAACATTGACGGTGGGAGCGCAGTTCCGCCGGCGTACTCGACCGTCGAGCCACCTGTCTCCCACTACCCGCCACCGCCACCATCACCTCCGCTGCCACCCCCTCCGCCGCCGCCCGGTCTGCCACCGGCCTCTCCACCACCGCCGCCCACTCTGCCACCGACCTCTCCGCCACCGCCACCACTTGCAGTGTGCCGACCGCTGTGCGCTGGCGGAGCGATGTGTGGGAGCGATGGGGCATGCGTCTGCCTGGCTAGCTACAACGCCAGCTCGCCAGCACCAGAAGCGGGGACTGACCCGGCATGCGTGTCGGCTTGGGAAGCGGCGTCAGGCATGGTCTGGGGAGGCGGCGGTGACGATGCCGCGGAGGCGGCTTCGCGAACGCTGCTGATGGCGCGAGGCGTGGGCTCGCCGATGGCGTTTTCGATCTACTGGGTCATTGTCGTGGCGCTCGTTGTGGGCAACAAGACGGTATATCATCGACGCGACAACCTGCGGCTCCGGGCAGAGCTCTTCCTTGCGCTCGACACCGAGTCGTATGGCCAGTTCGTGATGCAGACGCACTCGTTGCTCTCGCCGTGGCGGGTCCACCCCGAGGCGTGGGTTGGGCGCACGCCGCGGCGGGTGGCGCTTGTCGGAGAGGTTGTGGCGGTGGCGGCGCTTGTCTCATTGCTGGTGTATATCAACGAGGAGCTGGTGACGAGCGGAGCGACGAATCTAGGCTGGCTGGGACTGTTTGCCACACTCGCCGCGTCGTCGCTCGGTCATGCGCTTGGGTGGACCGGGACTGTGTGGTCGTTCCGGCTGATGAGCTCCAGCTGGCCCAACTTGCCGCGAGCACGAATTTACGCGTGCGCCGGAGTGGCCATCAGTGTCGTCGGAGCGTCGGGCGTGGTGCTGGCGGTCGGCAACGCAGTCTCGGGTGCGAAACAGCTGGTGGCCAACCTCGTACTCACCGCGGTGGCGTTGGTGTGGCTGTGGCTGGTATGGGAGCCTGTGCTCCTCGCAATCCGGCTCTTTGTGGAGAAGGAGCTACTTTACATCACCTGCCTGCAGTCGTCGCATTGGCGGTTGCAGGGCAAGAAAGAAGGCGGCGCCGGTGGCGAGTTTGTCGACGAGACCCTGTCGGTGGCGTCGACGGTCCTCGACCTTGTGCCGTCCGACGACGGGTCGCCAGCCGGGACGATATCGACGTCGCACATGGTCTCAACGCGGCAGCACAGCCATCTACCACTGGCGCTAGTGGGCGATCCGTTCACTTCGGTTGGGGCGCTGTCACACTCGTCGGGGTGGGTCCACGACGCCAGCCACCCAGACACGGTTGAAATGCTCATCCAGCAGCAGGAGATGGAGATTGAGCTCACCATCCTTGCCCCCATCAAGAACGCAGAAGTGCGCCGCCAGGCCTCGCTCTCACAGCTGGGGCCGGGCGGCGTGATGCCGAAAGTGGCTCCAACTAGCGAGCTGCCGCCAAAGGCGCCGTGCAATAGCGGCGAAGGCATTGGTCCGTCGGCTGGCGCAGGCGCGGGTGCGGGCAACCACGGCCCGCCGCGGCCGGCGCGGCGCCGGACGTCGTCGGCAGCGTCGGGCATGGGTTCATCGGGCCCCGAGTCGTCGCGCCTCTCGCACTCTCCCGACGACGCGCTCCTCTCGTCGACCGATGGCAACGCAGTCGATCTCGCGCCGCTGGCCGAGATCTACGGCTCCGGCTCGGAGACACAATCGCCTCTCGAGCCTTTTCCGCCAACCGTTGCCTTCCCGCACTACTCCGCCGATACCAACCAGGGCCATGATGGCAATCCATCGAGCCCCGACGGCGCGGCGCAGTAAAACTATCAAAAGTAGTAGCAGTCCTGCGAGACGCGGCCGACGTAGCGGGCGTGGTCGAAGCGGGTGTACCCGCTCGGCGTCGCCGCCACGGCGCTGGCCGGCGTCCAGTCCAGCGCCGACGCCCGTTTCCGCGGCAGGCCCACCGCACTTTCGCCGCCGTCGCCGGCACTCTGACCAGCTCTTCCCGCATCGACGACCTCAATGCCATGGCCATCACCGTCACCATCGTCGCCGTCGTCATCACCACGTCGGCGCTTTCCTCGCCCGCCGACACTGGCGACTTCCACCAGCGGAGCAGCCTCCATAGCCACCACGCCATCCGATCCATCATCCATGCCCATGCCCATGCCCACGCCCATGTCCATGCCCATGCCCATGCCCATGCCCATGTCCGTCGACTCGCTCGGCCCTGCCAAGTCACTACCACCGGCTATGCTCTGCCGTCCAGCACCACCACTTGCTGCGCCATGACTGAGACCGGCGGCCATCACGAAAGAAGCGGGCGGCGACATGGCCATGCCCACCGTGGCCGAGCCACCGTCCATGACAGCAATATATATGTCTAAAGATAAAGTGTGTGTGTGTGTGTGTGTGTGTGTGTGTGTGTGTGTGTGTGTGTGTGGACGAGTGGTGGTAGTGGTGATGGTAGTGGCGGTGGTGGTGGTGGTCGTCGTGGTCGTGGTGATCGTGGTTGGCTGACCGCTCCCTGTGGTTGGCTGACCGCTCCCTGTGGCCAGGCAGTCAGTCCAAGCAGGACCTGCCAGCTGGGCAGCAGGAAAGACATGACATCAGACAAGGAACAAGGTACGATAGTGGCTAGACAGCGTTGCTCCACACATCACATCAACCTCCATCCCCCATCATCCCCCCCCTCGCCGGTATCCGTCGCCCACCCCCACCCCTTTGTACCTCACCCGACAGGAGACAGCACACCTCACTCCCACGTGTCACCGTCTCACCCTCTCCCTCTCACACACCAACACAGTCATCATGCGCAGACATCAGCTGCTTCACCCGTCGACGCTCCACCGTATGCGGCAGCTTATCAAGGGCGGGACGGCCGAGAAGCCGCAGTGGCTCGACTTGGTCTCGGCTCACCCTCCGGCACGGAGGCCACGGACTCGCAAGCCGCGGGCTGCTTGGCGTTCTCCTCTTGATCCCTTTGCCACCTCGCCTGCTGCTACAAGGGCTGCCACTGCTTCTTCCATTGCGGGTGCTCCCTCGGCGACAAAGCTCTTTGCCGCTGCAAAGTCCGCCGGCATCGCTCCGCCCTCGTCGGCTGCTACCGCCTCGGTGGCCGCGACAGCTGCTGCGCCGGGCTCTGGCTCGGTCGATGCTGCTGTTTCCGGCATCAAGGCCCTGCTCTCGGCCGGCTCGGCTGGCGCTGCAGCAAAGAAAGCTCAGGCTGCCGCCGTGGCTGCTGCGTCCGGAGGCGATGCTGCTGCCGCCGTCGCCGACGCCGCGCAGATTGTGGCGCCAGCCGGCGAAGAGTACGACGCCTTTTGCGCCCATGTCGATGCCTCGGGCCTCGACATGGACAAGGAGGCCATGGACGCGTGGTTCTCGGCCATGCAGGTCCGCCAGCGGGTGTACGCGCCGATCGAGGCGCTCGGCGACGAGCTCGTCGCCCGCGCACGCGACATGGTGACTGCCGCCACCGCCGACGACGATGCTGCTCCGCTGCCGCCGGCCGATGTGGCCCTCCTTGTTGACGAGACGCTCGAGGAGCACGGCCCGGCCCTTCTCGCCCACGTCTTTGACGACCTCGACGCCGACACCATCAAGTCGCGCTCGCTCGACCTCATCTTTGCCTACTTTACCGGCCCGCAGGCCTCGGGCGCCCCGCCCACCGACGCCGATCGCAAGGAGCGCTTCGCCAACCTCCTCTTTGCCTACCGCGAGCAGCAGCGCCAGCCGCGGACCTCACCCGCCTCCCCGCCCGCCTCTAAGTAGCAACAAACCCCGCACCCCCCCCCCC